GGGTGCAGTTTAATGTGATGCGGAGCGAAGGCGACGTGTGGGCGACGGAGGAGGGGGGGGGAGTAGGGCGCTTATCCCCTGCGGTGATCGAAGTCGGCCCAGCGTGAGGCCCCGGGGCCATGGGGCCTCCCGACCCTTACCATGACAAACACTGCCAACGTCTGAGGACTTTTTCAGCCTTGAGCCAGCCAGCCCCGCCAAAAAAACAGTCCTCATAAGAAGGAAATCTTATTTGCATGAGTTTACAACGATTCCGTTTCATGTTACGTGTTGTAGTACCCAAAATGCCTCAGACCATATGGGAATGACGTAAAGTCTCAGAGCCATATTGTACCTCACGCGCCCCGCGCCGCCGCATCTGGGTCCTCCGCTCCTGCCGTCGGGCCGTTCCATCCTATTCCATTCCATCTCGGCCCCGCCCAGCCCAGCCCAGGCCAGGCTCTCCCCGGCGAGGCCCGCTCGGCTCCGCTCGGCTCGCACATCGATCATCCATGGAAAAAGGGAATGTCACACGACGTGACATTGTTTGTCATCCCAGCGCCACGTCTCGTCCGGGCCAGGCCCTGCCCGGGGGATAGGACCGCGCACCCTCCGCCTCTCCCGCTCCTCCTCGTGATCATCCTCTTCGTCGCCGCCATGTTTCCCCAGGAGGTCTGCCACCGCTGAGCCACCACGGAGAGACCCCTTCGCCCCTGCGAACGGTTCGCCCTGCCCCAGCCCCTCCCATCGACTCTCATTCAAGCACTTTGACTTCCGGGAGAGTCGATGCGGGCCTGATAACACTGTGAAAAATATCGTCTTCAATTTACTTTTTATTTTTTTCAAACTCGAATTACAATTTAAGTTATAAATTTATGAGAGCACCTTTCACTCGCCTCATTTTAAGTCGACATGTACTGCATATGTATTTTTACTATTACGAATTGTAATTGTATTACTGGTTAATGCTTCGTCTCCACACTGTTAAAAAAGAAGTCAGAACTTCACGAATAATTCTACGTGAAAAACGTTTCCAAAACTCTTTGTTAAATTTTGAACAATATAACGACATTTATTCGTAAACTACGGGCTACAAAGAAACTTTGTGAATTTACAACAAACCGTTGGTTTCAAATTTCCAGAAGACATTTCCAAATTCCCAACAAAGAATCGTTTTCTTTACATCTTAAAACTGAATGGTGTGATGTTGAAACAGTTTTGTCAACTGGGATGCAGATGCAAGAAATAATAGCCTACTGTATTTGCTTTTGATGTGAATTAAACCGGCCCATTGAAAATTACAATTTTTTTCTAGAATTTAACGGACACATGTTGGAGTTTCTTAATTCCGTAGATTCCATGGAGTAAAAGTGTAAAACGAAGTTTCTTTGTAGAGTGGTTACAAAGGAATGTTGGAAAAGACAAACACGGAGATATTCTGGGAAAGTACGAAGAAGTGTTGGGATTTTGGGTTCCCAGAAAAGTATTGTGATTTTCAGATCACTTCGTATGGTAAAAGTGTTGTAAGATCACAATTTTTTTCTAACAGTGCAGACCAGAGTACATTTCGTTGGCGTTTCCTCACCCTCTCCAGACTGGCTCCAATTACGCCCGGAAAGGTTGGTCGATCCCTCATTTTCCTTTGTTGCGCACGGGAGGAAAAAAGGGACCCAACGGTTCGCTCCACCGGAAACAGCGCCCGCCCCGCCGTGACAAGGAAAAGTGCCCACGAGGTGTGCGACCGTCGTCCGCTCAGCGTGTGCGCTCGCTCGGCTCATCTTTTATTTCCCCGCGCCAAGACGCCATATCTCCCTCTCCCTTCCTATCTACCTCTCTCTCTCTCTCTCTCTCTCTCTCTCTCTCTCTCTCTCTCTCTC